GATGACCTTACCTGTGAGGAATAATAATTTGGGGTAGCGAGGACATAGTGTAAAACCGAAATGCAAACGTGCCGGGTCATATTGGCCACATCTTGTCAGCACCACACAGCCACGCAAGCGCAGCTGGGGCTGCCCCATGAAGATAAAGCTGCATCGGAGAGACAACTTCATTGCCCCGCGTCAAGATCATCCTTACCCCACAGGTAACTAATTGTCATACGTAGCTTAAACAAGTAACCCGATAAAGAAATTGTTTTTAGTTAGTAGGCAATTTCCAAGATTATATTTTGCACAACTTTGTGTTAGTAGCACCCGTATGAACTTGTCATGAGATTCGCGTTCTGAAAAACAACTCTTTCTCATCCCTTGTCGATGAGACCGTAGCTGAAAGATATTTTGGTCCGTTTGTTTTTAATCATGCGCTTGTTCCGATTCTTCAGAAGCGATGACCGCATTAAAAATCAAAGTCGGACTACCGTACTCCGTTGGTTACACCAGTGACTACTCTAGGTTTAGAGTGTCCGTTGTGCATTCGGATTGCGATACAGTGGAAATCTCGATCATGATTTGTTTTCAAGTAAACCCTGGTCGTTTAGGTCATTGAAATACAGTGTTTGGGGAGTATAGTGTTTATAATATCTATCTATTATCTATCTATCTATTATACACCTTGCGATCTCTTCGTAATAGTCATCGAAATAATATCAGGCCACTCTCGTTTGGCTGCAAACACTTTCTTCCGAAGTGCGCTTGAACCTATCGAAGAATTTTATATGATCAGGGAATATCTACATTCTGTATCCCTCTACTCCAATTCTTCTGTTGCTTTATGTAGCCCCACCAATTCAGTCAGACTAACATGACCTTATCCAATGCTCGGTGCCAGTTCTGTCAAAATTTCTTTTTCTCACTCAACGCGAGTCGAACGGCCGCCAAATGTGTCAATTGTGGGTACGTATGTCACGAGAAATGCGCCCCCTTGGCACCAAAGAATTGCCAGTCCGTGAACGATGTCTCGGCTGCTTCCAGTCGGCACGATATCAGCGGTGGCACGGAGGAGGAACGGCGTAATCCGTATGCAGCTAATAACCGTTCCCGAAAAGGAAACATATTGAGTCCGAAGCCCCCGTGGCGCAACAGTCGCGATGTTTCGCGGCCTGTAGAAGCTGCCAATTTCCGAGGCTCCGCATTATTCCTGTGAGTGTACCATTTCGACCACCATGTGTATCCAGCTAGACAATATGGTCTCCTTTCACGTATTCCCTTGGCATTGGAGCTCCAACTATTTGGTTAGTAGTAAAACTGTTACCGTTTTCGAACCGTGTCATAAATGCGCGCCTGCGCTAACCTAGGCGCTCGTTTCATTGAGCTAGCTAAGCACAATACTGCATTTTATTAATGTTTGATGATTCGTTTCATCGCGTTGCAGTAAATCGCGTGTAGCTTCACTGAGTCGGTGAGTCGTCTAATACTTGTGCTCCATACTGCTCACGAACTCACTCAGCACACATTATATGTACAGTGACATTTCACGTCCCATTGGCAGACTGTTTGAATTCGTACTTCGTTTTTTGATGATGTTCGAGAGCATGCTTTTTAGGTCCGTGCACACTAAAACTCACCGGCTTGCACAATTTATGTCCAGCTTAAATCAATCACTTCCAACACCCCGTCTCATCGCACTTTCACACGTGCTTTTATTGCTTGGAGCGGTGCCATGTATCCGCATGTTCTTAATGTATGGCGTTGCACCGTAAGTGATGACTATTCCGTTTCCACCCTAATGTTGGATTTTTCTGATGGTACGTTGTAGATATGACAAGCACGCCCAGCCTAGAGATCATTTGGAACCGATTGGTACGCGCCAACAAATTTCATCTCCGTTGGGTCGATCTGTCACCAGTCTCCGCGCGAACACCACGACGGTCCCGGCGCATTTGGTGAACGCCTCGTTCTACGGTCTGTTGCACAAAATGAGCCACCGGAAGTTGCTACAGCAATGGAAGCAGCGTTTTTTCGTGTTGGATACCGACCGACACCAGTTGCGTTACTACGACACTGAGGCTGACGAATCTTCGCGTCGTTGTATAGACCTACAAGAAGTCCGTGCAATTCGACTTGTTCGCAATTCCGTCCCACACCAACGCCGGGTCGCCGACTACAGCGTCTTTGAGGTAACGAATCTTTGTTGTGTCGCCGTTCATTAGCAAAATGAGTTGCTTTTGTACAACACCAAGAACGCTACTGCATGCACGCGCCTCTATGGAGATATTCCGACAATCCAGTGTCCACATTATTCCAGTTTTGCCGTAGCGCCGGATGAAATTCGATTACGATTGAGCTACTCATAAGTAGAACCTTTATTGGCTTCATGACATGTTCGACAGCAACTGCTGTTTTGCACAATTTAGAGGAGGTGCGATCTTCTGCTATGCACCCGGCGACTCGTTGGCGTGACTGGTCACCAGAGACTGACTTATTCATCATAATCGAACTGCGACGACTGTATTGACCCTAAATCCATCAGTTTGATGGCTTTCGAACAGTATTGGACAATGAGTTGATCGCACTAACTATCTGCACCAACGTTACATGTATCAAAAGCGTGAGACAGTTCCTCTAGTTCAGGAAGATGCGCACGTTACGATCTTTCGGTCAAATGTGTCATGGCTCTTACTTCTCCGTAGTAATTCAAATCCTTCCATTAGAAGGACAAAAACAAAGCCAAATGGAAGATTCTCGGATTAACCGTCATGGAATTCCTACAGTCATCTGGAGGTGGTTTGAAAGTTGGCTTGGATCATCAATGACTTGTATCACTAAAAATTGCAAACCACGACACTTTAGTTTCGGGACACTATTCATGTCAAACTCCGACTTGTGCTATACACAGCGGGTTAACACGATGGGCGTTATTTTAGGGCCAAACACTGTCTTCTGTAGTTAGAAACATACAGCGACGTGTGATGAGTTGCGCCACGGACTCGTTTCGCACGCCGTAAATCGAGGACAGCAGTCTCGCACAGGGAGTGAGAAACCGCGTTCTGCCTCTCTCATTAATGCTACAAGACCAATTTTCCGACAGACACTTGGAGGATGTGAACGTTCGGGTCGAGTTGTTTTCCGGGTTTTGATAGAAACTGTACTGTAATGTCATCCGCTAAGAAGCGAACCTATAGACTCAGAACAGCCAAGTGCCGATGACTACAAGACCATGCCATTCCGGGGTTTAGGAGCTCAGCAGCAGTGAACTTCATCTGTAAGCATGCACAATCCTTGGTGAGCGGCTACAACCTTGTACGGTCTTACTAAGCAGTCATATATTATACGTCTATTCTCGTTTTTGAATTCATTCGAATCCTAGCAACCTACAGCACAGTAAGCGGAAGTGACGCTTTCCTTGCCTCTCATCTCGGCTGGTGGCCGAAGGGGTTTCGCGTTTGACTCGTACTCCAGATGTCGACGGTTCGAATCCGTGTAGATGCGGGTGACCCTGTGATATACCTAGTGTCGTACACTATACAGGTATACTTGTGATGCCTTTCTCTTTCTTTTCCCCATCACCCCGATGCGATTTTTTAATTTGTGAGATTTTATGGCACATACTACACTCCTCAAGTATCCCATTAATCTTAACATATTGGAACTCAAATGCTTCTATGGTACCTGATATTTTCTCTAATTTAGCTGGAGACGAGCACAAGGACATACCGGCTGGCAGCTGAATCGATAAAGGAAGCCAACGAATGGGTTGAGCGCATACAAAACACCATTCAGTAGAGTTGATCGGAGAATTGCCCACTTCCTTTGCACATATTGTCCAGTTTTGGCGAGGGAACTCTGTCTGGTCTCCAGTATAATATCATTTCGCGCAGTAATACTGCCCCAGTAACCCCAACGACGCGATAGCCTGGCAATCTTCCTGTGCGTTATGCTGTCCTTTTGCAATTCTCACATTCAGTTGTAAAAAAGAATCTATTCGATGTAAACAAACACACTTTGACTTATTTCTCTCAAGGTTCCATTCAGATTCGCTGAGTTTCCTTTCCTTTTTGCGCGTGTTTGTCCCCACCGCCCCCCTCCCACCCGAGCAAGTTTGTGCGGTCATGTGTCATGAACACAAGCTTTCGTCGCATTGCCGCACCTGCACCCACACACATACTTCAATTTACAGTTGAACACACGTGTACTCAACGGGCAGAATCATGCGCGTTTTATCCTACTACACGCTTTGGTTGACTGCATGTCTGTCAACACTTCGCAAACCATGACTTGCTTATCAATTTTCCTTCCTGTTGCCTTCTTCGTCTTCTCTACAAATACCGCCTGTGTACATTAATCTGCCGTTTTCAAGCATCTCGCATGCCGTGTATGAATTGTGATCTCCGATCAATTCGACGCAAAATACCTAGTTGTTTTGCTCTACTTTTTTGTTCCGGTGTATCTAGATAGCACCCGAATCATTGTACTGAGTAAACATTGTTCACCGCTGAGAGCAATAATCGTGAAGACCACTCGCGTAACAAGATGAGTGTTAGCTTTGCCTTGAGGCCGCATTTCCGGAGACCCTAGCCTGCATAGGACGATTTGAAGTCGGTGTCATGTCGCCTCCATTGTGCTTTCCGTTAGCAATTTGACTCACTCATGTAATCAACTATGATGCATACCCCGATCTGACTGGTTGCCTCGGTACAACCTGCATGAGAAACGGTGTCAGGAATGCACAGCACTTCATGCTGATACCCCGATAACATGCAGCTGCTAGCGGCTGTACGCGCGTTTGGATACCGCAAGGACACTCAGAACATGCAGAAGCGGGAACTCGAACAGGGGCAGCAGAGGTTGCAAACCACTACTACACTGCGAGCCCACTGCACCTACATGCTGATACTTATAGTGTAACGCGTGTACCTATAATTAGAGCATCCATCACATTCACTCCGTTACTGCACTGCTTTCGTACCGTATCGCGGACCAGAGTAGTAAGTAAAAAGACAGTTGCAAGTCTCTAGATTTATTATGTGTACATTTGATCCATCAGAGTAGGTCTTTCCCCGCATATACATGAGATGCAATATTCCTTCAAATCTTTACTGTCACCTAAGTCCCAAGTCGTTGACATTAAGGAGAACACTTCCGAAAGCGTGCGAATCGGTTTGAGTTTATCAAACAACTCCTTGATTGATTCCCACGCGTATGCTGGGTTATCCTGAAGTATATAATACAAGACCACAATGTAGCTTCGAATTTTTCGAAAATGGGCGTAGGTCATAAACTCCGCGGCGAAACCGTCGATGATATTTGGCTGTTCTAATGTTGTAAAGGGGACCTCATGGGTCACTTCATGGAAGGTCTCGTCTGGAAGGATGCGGACAAGGGATTCGTTTGGAATCTCAGGAGCCTGGAATTTGTGAACCGGCTGCGCGTATAGTATGATAAGCTCTATGGCGCCAGTATCTTGAACGGGTTCTAATATTGGACGCAGAAGTAAGTCAACGACAGTCTTCTGCGAATGATGAATAACCTGTTTCAGATGAGGCAAAGTTATCACAAAAGTACCGTGAGATGATTCTGGTAAATAGTAAACTAGGGCAAAACGTTGTAAGAACACGTCTACACCGCCATAATTTGGGACAGAGAAAGGTAGTTTACAGAGGAAATTCTGCTCCGAGATCGCTAAAGCGCATGTCACAAAAGCAGTCTGGAGAGGGCCAACGGAAACCACTATTTTCGTGGTGGGCCGTTCTTTTACGATAGCAACATAATCTATCGGTGTGTACGTTTTGTCCACGAAGTGAAGAACTTCGTCTTCAGTTGTATCCGCCTCATCATAATCGTCCTCAGAATCCTCGTCACCAAGTGCACGAGAAAATGCGGGTGTGCGCTTCAAAAAGAAATCCATCACAAGCCAACAAAAACAAGGATAGTCGGAAAATCTGAAAGAAATGAACGAAAGAAAACATGGGATAAAAATGAATTGGGAGCATAACGCCATTAAGATACCGAAATAGGTCGATAAATTGTTAAGGATGGTGTACAGCAAATCTCCAGATATCAAACTATATGACAAGAGTGGCAGTAACTCTATTGGACCACAAAGGTACACGAACGTATCACCACCGACTTTCCAGGCAAATATAATTTGTGCATGGAAATGCGGTGTATACAGTCGTATTGGCTCGCGTCGCCAAAATAAAATATGAATAAGGATGGAGTAATTAAGGCTTGAAAATAAGGAAATAAAGTCAAGAGCACAGATGAGACCGTGATCGCACCACATCAAACAAGGTAGCTAAGTACTGACGCGACCGGAGTCCATCTCCTCAGAACAACGGTATGCATCAATCCTGCTGGGTCTTACAGAAAACTTTCTCATGTTATTCTACTGCATTTACTGAACATCCAGAGATTTAACCCGGCTAGGTGGAGTATTGGTAAACAATACACGCCAGAGCAGCTGGCTTGCAAACGTGCGAAGGGTGGTGCCAGCTCAGAAGACGCTCCAGTGTGGCAACAGAGGGTCTGTCGTCCAGCATCAGGCGATGACATTCACTATTATTCGACCGTTACGCCCACTAGATGTAAGCTTTACTTCGCAAGCAACGATGGTCATACACGGTCAGTGCGCAGTGTCTAGGTCTGTTATTCATACAACACTAGTCCCATTACAACGCATTACACTCTTCCCTCCGCTAATTAGCTTATACTCCTTCTTCCAAAATTAAAAAGCGCTAAAAATATACGCAAGTCTTAGTCATGTATGTGGTAACATTTTGGATAAGGCGACCACCACAGGCAGTACAGTTACCTCGGTAGACAAACCCAATTAACTGTCCAGTGATTTTGAAGACGGTGTGCTTGCGCCGACTCATAACAGTGCTTTGTACTGTGAAGGTGAAAAAAAAACATTCCGAAGCGCGCATAGCCATGCGGCATTTTATTCAACAGCAGCCGGGTACAGCCCAAAGCTACACCATCCGGGACATGACAGTAATCTATCCAACAGAACATCTAAACCAGATGTAAGGAGACAAACGGAGTAGTCCTGATACACTTTAATTGTGATGAGATAAGGAAGCCGCTCCCTGCAGGCCCTTACACTTCTCAGGTAACCCGTGGTGTAGCGAATTTGTAGCACCTAGATGGGCCATGGATGACTTGCGCAGCACGATATATATATATATATATATATATATATATATATATATATATATATATATATATATATATATATATATATATATATATACATATATATATATAAACCCGAAGGAATAAGACCGGGAGGCACGCGGATGGGAGCTACGTTTCATCAAAGGAGCCGGCCCACACTCTTTCACAGGCAAGCACAAGCACACTGTATTTGGGAATCAAGCGCACACAAAGTGGTGGATGGACCGTAGTTCGCTCCATACTGAGTGCGTGGAACCACTCTTTGATCCTAACACGTCCACAAGGACCGTGTATCCCGTCCCCTCCAGCAACGGCCAACTGTCTTCTGGAGCCAGTATGAACGAGGTAGTGGGTGATAGACAGGTAGGCACCTTGTCAACATGCACATCAAGCGCAGCCACACCTGGGGTATCAAACAACGGCCAATCACTTGAAACGAGAATATGGAACAAAATAAATCAGATAATGCATACAGATACGATGGCATAACTCATCACTAAGTGAGCGTATAAAATAAATTGGTTACGAACGAATCCGCGATAAGTTCAAGACGTCAGAAAATATATTTTAAGGAAATGCCACAAACGCGAAAATGTTATCGAAATTAACTACAATTAGCTTCAGCGACGTGTGCAAGTTTATAGAAGATGGTTCAGGTAGACATTAATATGAGAAAGAAAAGCATTAGGACAAAATTGCAATCTTACCACCTGAAATAAAGAGACTTAGCATGCAAGTACGCGGTTAGTAAGTCGAATGCAGCGTACCTACAAACGCTGTGCCGGTTCTGACTACATTCTCTGCAGGACCCGTCGTCGCTTCGGTAGTGGTCCCAAGTGGCCTCGCTCATGGCTCACTAGGCCTGCCTGACTCAGGTACTCGCGACCGCATGTGCTACAGCACCATGCGTTCGATGTCGATGGAGTACAACCCATCGGCGCCTACAGCTTCTTCTCTGTATGTATGCGGTCTTTCTCCCGAAACCTCGGCAAATACCTTCGTGATCAGATCGCGCCATGCACGCCGATCAAGCGCCTTCGATTCCCATGACCTGCAATCAAGAGTAGAACGTGAGAGGCTCACTTTGATCATGTCATGGTAACGTAACTTTGGTTTCCCCACTTGCCACTTCCCAATACTCAGCTGACCATATAAGAGTTGTTTCGGTATCCGCGTCGAATCCATACGCTTCACATGACCCAGCCACCTCAGGTGTCTCAGCAAAAGTATGCAGTCCACTGCATACATTCCACTACGACGCAACACTTTCGTGCGCGCAACTCTGCCCCTCAACCGATGCGCAGAAGCCATCGCAAACAATGTTATTGGAACCCCTCGAGATATCGCATATTCCGCAGGTACATCGTATAGAAGAACGGACAGCGCCATGGATTAGTACACCATCAGCTTCGTTCCAATGGTAAGCTGATGATTGTTCCACACTCGGTACTTTAGCTTCGCGAATGCCGCCGCCGCCTTCGAGACGCGGATACGCAACTCACTGTGAAGCTGCTGGTCAGTCGACTTCACACTCCCAAGTTAGTAGAAGCAGGAGGTGGTTTCCAATACGTCATCACCAATTCTGATTCGCGGTATCATTGTAGATTGCACCTCCTGTAAGAGACATACAGTTTTGCTTGTGTTGATGGTGAACCCGAATTTGGCCGCTGTCGAAGCCAGAGCAATAGTCATGTGCTGCAACTCATCCGCGCTGTGTGCAAACAACGCACAGTCATCAGCAAACAGCAACATACGGATAGTTGTTTCAAAGACTAGAGTTCTCGCACCGAAACGACGGATGTTCAGCAACCCACCATCAATGCGGTGCTCCACACGAACATCGTAAGCACAAGCCGCATCAAAAGCACAAAACATCAATGCGTGAAGATAAATATTAAACAAGGCAGGAGCTAAGACACAGCCTTGTATCACACCAGAGACAACTGCAAAGTCATCTGAGGTCTGTCCACTCAGGTGCACCCTCGCCCGCATACCACTTTGCAAACATTCAATTAAACTTAAACTTACGCGGGCAACCAAACTTACCCAACACCAACCACAATGCCTCGCGGTTCACTTTATCAAATGCCTTTGTGAAATCAACAAAAAGCGAGTACAATGGCTGGTGTCGTTCTCTTCACTTCTGCAACTGACGACCCGCAAACAACAAATATATAGTGCTGCGACCCGAACAGAATCCACCTTGCTCTTCCGCTACGTTCGGTTCCACAACCTGACTGACGAGGCGGTTGAGCAGGATTCGGGCAATCACCTTGCCCACACAACTCAACAAAATGATGCCACGATAATTCGTGCAACATTGCTTGCTCCCTTTGCCCTTGTACAGTGGTAGCACAAGGGCATCCTTCAGCTCAGGAGGCACCTCCTCCTCAATCCACACGCGTTGCACCAAGTGGTGCAGCGCAGTCAACAACGCGGGTCCGCCGTGTTTTAATACTTCAGGCGGGATCCCGTCCGCCCCGGCACACTTGCCGTTTCGTAGCTGAGCAAGTGCTCTCTGCGTCCAATCCAGTGTCGGCGTGTCTGCCAGACTCGCCTTCACATCGTGCTGCTTGAGACCGTTCAATGTAGGCCAGTCGATCTCTGAACGATTGATCAAGTGACAGTCAAAGTGTTTTCGCCAGATCTGCATTATGTCTGCGGTCCGTGTGCAGGTAGCGTCTGAACTAACATCGAGTAGCGTCCTCAGCGGCTCCATCCTAGGTCCATACACCGCCTTCAAGGAGTCAAAAAATTCCTTGTGTTGGCGGCGTTCGGCGTAGCATTCCATCTGCCTCGCCTTCTCTGTCCACCATGCATTTTTAATGCGACGGAGCTCTCGGGTCAGTCGCCGTCGAAGTTTGCGAAACTGACTATTCTTCCCCAAGTCACTGGGGTCTGCCACATGTTCAGCCGATGATGCATTCTTCTCCGATAACAATGCGCCATTCGTCGCAGCCTCATAAAATCAATCAGGCCACTTACAGTTTGCGCGCCCGATGGTCTCCTCGGCAGCAGCTATCACCTGGTCGCGAATGTGGTGCCACGGGTCGCCCACTGTGGCTATGTAGTCCACATCACACAGGCATGCAGCCATCGCCTTCTCCAGCTCAATACGTTTCGCCACAGTACCGAGGGAGAGAATGATAAATTTACGCCGATTCACGGCGGGAGTGCAATACATAGATTTACGAAAATATATGTACAGTTTGGTCCGCACCAATTTGTGATCAGTGCAACATTCAGTTCCACGCAGTACATGTGTCATGCGCACTTCACGCATATCACGCCGATGTACGATGACATAGTCGAGCAGGTGAGCTTGACCACTCCGTCGGTGCGTCCAAGTTGCAATATCACTCGCACTCAGTGCAAACCGAGTGTTCGTGATCGTCAGGTCGTGAGTGGCACACAGTGAGAGCAGCCTGTCACCGTTCGCATTCGCTGAACTAATGTCATGCGGACCGATAACATCTGCCCGCACCGATTCATCACGCCCAAAGCGCGCGCATTGTAATCACCTAGCAGAAATAGTCGGTCGCTCCTCGGCACAGACCGTATCACAGAGGATAGCTGAGTGTAGAATTGATCACACGTGTCATCAGGATAACACATGGTCGGACCGTACGTGCTTATAAAAGTGACAAACTTACCTCTTCCGTGTCGTAGGCGAACAGTCATCAGTCGCGCGCTGATGCCTGTTGGTTCACCCACGAGCTGGCTATGAAGGCGATCGGATATTGCACATCCGACCCCATGTTCAC